CCCTGTAGAGAGAGAGAGGGATATTCTTTGACATGCTATGCCGTGTGAGAGTTAGATACTAGCTCAGTGAGATTGGGAGAGAGAGAGACGAAGGTTGATTGTTTGACACAATGTTCGAAAGCACTGCTCGGGCCAAGTTCTCGGCTCATGCCTTATCCGAGTACTCGGATAACTCGGCTCGAGTGGTACCGAGTAATGTACCCATCAAAAAAACAATTAAAATTTATAAGAATGCAAAAAATAATAAAATAGGAAATGTATGTTTAAAGTAAGATTAAGAAATCCATATCAAAATTAAGTTTTAAAAAGTAGTTAAACAAACTAGATTTTAAAAAATAAAATATAAAAGTTATAATCTTTGTCAAAATGAAAAAAAACATAAAAATACATAACTCCAAAAAAATTCTTCATTTTTTATGAATTTTTTAATATCCCATAATTGGACACCCAAATGGGGTAACTCGAGCTCTACAAGGTGCCAAGGCTGAGAATTCGGCACCCGGTCCTAGTATTCAAACGCTGGTTTGACATGTCAGGTCATGTTGCATAGAGAGAGATGTTTGCTATCCAAACCAAGACTAACAAGTCGGGAAAGCAGCCCGGTAGCATCCCATATCTCAATTACCATGTCGTGGTTTTCGTTTCTACTGGTACTACACTCTAACACGTTTTAAAAAACTAACTCTAAAACTATTTAAAAAAGAAGAAGAAAAAGGGGTAGGCACTATCTTGAATTACCTATAAATAAACAAAAATAAGAAAACAAGACGATGGCCCTAATTACCCAAAAACAAATAAACAAAAAACAAGTCAATAACCTTAATAATTGCACGTTGGGTGCGGTTTCTATGAGGATGCAACCTTAAACAATCCAATCAAGGCACACCTTAAATTTTTATCATAACATGTAATTTTGTTATAAAAAATTATTAGTATTATTTTAAAATCTACTTTCATACCTAATTAGAAAATTTTAAATTTTAAGAATAGTTAAAATCAAGTAGATCTATAAATCTATGAAAATCTTGAAAATGGACGGTCTAGATAATTTGTTGCAAGATGCACTATTTTCGGGACTAAAAAACTTCTTTTTTTTTATTATAATCATACATCTCAATGCCGAGATAATCAATTAAAAGGTTTTTTAACATTAAAACAACGTTTCGGATTGATTGTTGAGCTGCATCTATGATTCGACATTTTAAGGTTCCAACGTTATATAAACTTTTTCTTTTGAAAACTCCACCATTATTAACACACAATGGGAACTTTAATTGGTTGGCTCCATTTGGAAGAGGACAGAGGAGCACAAGTTTGAATACTTTGACGTTCATCTCGCCTTCAATCATGCATCATACGCGTAAAATCGACCTTTTTCTTTATTTCTTTTTAAATGCCCTCGATTATCGCCGTACTACTAATTAGTAATTACAACCAAATATGGCATTCAAATAAATTAATATAAAAAAGGCAATATACGATGTGACTATTTATACTTCCTACGTGGATGTTACTATTAAGGAAAATACCAAAGATTGTATCAGTGTAGCAAAAAATCAAATCATAACGGTTAACCGTACAAAATCAAATCATAAACGTCAACCCCCTTATAAGGCAAAAAAAAATATATATTTAAAAATATAGAGCACAAAAAAAAATATAACATGAAATTTATATTTAAAGCATTTATTAGACAAACCACGTCCAAATAAAATTGTAAATTAATGAAAAAATAGTATCTAAATAACCGATTTGCACCAAAGGATATTTTTAAAATTTCCAAAAAAGATGCAAAAAATGTAAAAGTCAGTATTAATTACCAAAACAATTTCAAATAATTTTCAAATTGATGAAAAACATTAAAACATGCATTGCAAATAAAATACCCTTTTTAAAAGAATTATATAATTTTTTTGTTTTCTTAAATACCCGACCGGTTCACCTAAACCAGCTGAAATCGGAATTGGCCAGTGGCCGGTTCCGATTAACCGAGTGGTTAGAATTTTAAGCGCCCAAAATTTTCTACACTGGATTGTATACGAGAAGACCATTTATTTTTGGTACAAGGAGGCCACATTCACTTTTCGCCATTGAATGTGAAATCCGATAGATAGAAATGTGTCACAACATTCAATAAATTTTGTTTTTTAACTTTTTGCTTAAACAATGACACATCCTTAACTGCCCAATCTGATATTTAAAAGTCAATGATAATTGTTACCTCCTTGTATTAAAAGTTGATAGTCTCATTATATAAATTTTCTGAATAATTAATCATTGGATTCAAAATTGAGCAATTGTATTTATTTCATGACCAAATTCAAAATTCAAATGAATTGTTTTCGAACTTTATGACACATTCAAACTACTAGATTTTACATCAAATGGTTTTACACGGTTGTAACCGCATTGTACAAAAAGTATATGGTCCATAGTATATGATATCTAACTTCAATAATTACTATGTAGGGAAAATTACAAAAAAAACCCAAGACCAAGTTTATTATGCAATTTACCCCCAACTAACTGCTTCATCACACTTTTGTCCTCAAAGCAATGTTTCCTAGCGAATACCCCCAACCACTCAATTTTTTTTTTAAATAGGCAAAACTACCCTTACTTTACCCTTTAGCCATGCATTATCTCCTCCCATACTTTACCCTGCACCAGCGCCTCTCTCTCTTTCCTCTTTCCCACAATACCTAATTTTTTACTGCAAGATGACCCACAGTCCGTAGACGCACTTACGGTCCGAGCTCTGTCCCTCTTTCTTGTGCTTTCTTCTGGCTTGAGCTCTCTCTCTCTCCCTCTTCGAAGGATTTTTTGGCCTCGAGTCCAACCTTCTTTCTCTTTTACTATCTCCTTGAATCCAGGGCCCGATCTCTCTCCGTGAAACATCTATCAATTTCTTCAGCCCAGCCCAAGCCACTTAAAAACAATGTCATCACCACCTAAAAGCAACATGTAACTATGGTTCTCCTTTTTATTAGCTAACATGCAACACCACCCTAAAGCAAAAAATAAATAAAATTGATAGTTACAACAGTGGATCAAGCACTCTGGCATTGTGTAAGTACGCTCCGGCAGTGGAACACTCTGGAGTCACAACGCTTCGGCAGTGGATCAGGCGCTTCAGCACTACATAAGAGCGCTCCGTCACTGTGTATGTGCGCTCCGGCAGTGGATGAGATGCTCCGGTACTGCATTAGTGCACTCCGGCAGTGGATCAGATGCTCCGGTACTGCATAAGTGCACTCCGGCAGTGGATCAGATGCTCCGGTACTGCATAAGTGCACTCTGGCAGTGGAACACTGTGGAGTCACAGTGCTCCGGCAATGTGTAAGTGCGGTCCGACAGTGGATGATGCGCTCTGACAGTGGAACACTTTGAAGTCACAACGCTCCGACAGTGGAACACTTTGGAGTTAGTGCTTCGGCACTGTGTATGTGGGCTCTTGCAGTGGATAAAGTGCTCTGGCACTGCGATGGTTTGCTCCGGCAATGTGCTTTGAAAGTTAATGTGAAATCTGGCCAAATTGATTTTTTTGTACGAAAAGGGCATTTCTGTTTAAAAAAATGAACTTTTTCCCTTGAAGGAATATTTGCATAGAATATTGGTGGAATATGAACATTAGAGTCACATCTCACACTAAATTCAAAGCGGCAACTTCAATGTGAGAATGAAAGTTGCCACATTCATTATTTAATACTATTTTGGAAGCCAAAACTTTCCGTAACGCATCACTTTCTATTTTCAAACACAAAAAAGTGCTGTAGTTGGTGGACGACACGGCTTCAGGAGCCATGTCTTCCACTAATCACATCAGCCCAAAATTATCTAGGTATTCAACTTCCGAAAAGGAGGTTTCAACCAAGAAAGATAAATGTTTTTGGTTTGGATCAAATCAAGTGGGCACAATTTTACTATTTGGATTGGACCACTTGAGTTGGCCCGAAGAGCACATTGTTTGTTTTAGGTTCTAAAACCAGAAAAAAAGACTGTAATGAAAAAAAAATCTAAAATTCGATACAATTTGAGATGTTTACGTCATTTGGCTCAAAGAAGGACAAAATATTAAAAGCTTAGTTAAAAATTTGATAACCGGCATAAAAGAGACATATTGAACGGCAGTCGAGGAGGTACTTGACTTAAATAAGAATGTTAAAGTACACACTCTACTGAGAAGATCGTTTATTTGGACCACCGCGTAGCACTTTGAAGAGGGGTGACAATTCGAACAAGATTTTCTTAAAAAACGTCATATCTTTCCACTGGAGTAAAAGTTAACGTTACAACGTATGGACAAAAATTTAAATAAGAAATATCGCGGAATGAAATAAGGAGCATGCGCATGTAAATGCAGTTTGGAGGGAAGCAGAAATTTTTTGATTTCGATTTTATTGCGTGTGGTAAGTGAGTAAAGGCGCCAAGTTGGGATGACCAAAACCCTAGAAAAATGCGCGCGCCGTATACATACTATAAAAAGTAAAATAAAAATCTCCTCTCTCTCTCTTATGTTTCTCTCTCCTCTCTCTCTCTCTTATGTTCTCTCTCCTCTCTCTCTCTCTTTTCTCTCTCTCTCTCTCTCTCTCTCTCTCTCTCTCTCTCTCTCTCTCTCTCTCTCTCTCTCTCTCTCTCTCTCTCGTCTCGTACTACTACTCTACTCTACTCTCTCTCTCTCTACTCTCT